TCCAAACCCCTATTTGTGAATGTCCCAATCGCTGTTCCGAATAACCGGAACTGGAAGCACTAGATGCGGATTGCTGTTTGTAGGATTGGGGTACTACGTAAGCGGTTAATGGGCGCAGCACGTAAGCTAAATGGCCACCGAGGCTAAGGACTCGATTCTGGACGCAAGCTCAAAATGAACTATGAAATACGAAAACTAAGCTGATCACCTTTTTGTATTGAGCACAACGAGCATTGAGATCGTCCATTCCTTGAGTGGTGCCTTCTCCAACAGTACCCGCCATAGGCACCACACCTTTGTCTACCTGAAATTTTTCATTGTAGTAGTCGGGTTGGACTGGGATTTTTCCACCGATTATGGGATTTTTTTTTCTTGACATGGTTCTTCTCCACTATATCTTACTTCTGCTCTTCTCGTTAGCTGAGCTATGATTAACCTTTCCGAATAAGCAACAATCGCTACGTTCACAGGAGAACAGCGAAGATCTTCCGACACCTCATCCCTTATCACCATCCTAAGGCTCAGAGAAGGCATCCATTATCGAGTCCTCCCAGTGCTTCATCAGCATTTCATTTTCTGGTATTATCACTGCGTCAATCTGATCTGCCTGTCTCATCGCTTGAAAGACTCGATTGTCACCTCTGCCGTAGCCGTTATATTCTTACGTAGAGTTATTTTTACGCCCGATGAAGGCACTGGGTGTCGAAAACTCGCATTTGAAACAGATCAACAATTCAAAAGCTTTGAAAATGCTACTTAGCGGACATAGTAGTATTTCCCTATTTCCCTAGACCTTCCCATTAATACGCGTGAGGCATGGTGGCATCTCAGGCAGCGTTCAGACTTCGCGACTGCAGCGCTTTGGACGCGCGTTCGACACGATCGATGCGCATGCTTTCAAAGGCATCGATTACGAATGAATTTAATTGCGCCGACCGAAGCGCTGCGTCGTCGCAAAAGCTCTACGCTGCGTCATTCTCTTGTTATGCGTCCGACGACATTTTGTTGTCTGTGTAAATATGATCCATTTGTTGAACCTTCTGGTAAACCGTTCACTGGTTCTGCTAAAGCTTTTGAAGATGGTTCGAGTGGGAAGGTCGGTGGGCACCGCAGCTATAGAGAACATCAGTGTGACTGAGGTTTCCCCTATCTCACCCGCATTATTGAGTTTTTTTTGACCACAGCTTCAAAACAGCGTCAAGATTTACCACTGCGGAGATGGACGACGTGTCGAAAGGCCAAGGGCTCGTTAGGGGGTTCGTGTCAAGGGGCTGGGTTTGGCGTGACGCCAGCTTTTTCTCCACCAATCCTGTCGCAATTGGGGCGGGGGGGCAAAAGGACAACAGTTGATGGAGAACAGTCTGGCGCCCGCTTAAACCCACCCCCTAACACGTCGTCATCGGCAGCGAACACGACTGTGTAAACCATGGTGCTCAGTCTGGGCTGCTGGAGGTCTTAAATGGTCTCAGGGCCCCTCATGAGCTTGGGACATATGCGACAGGTGGTAGGAAAGGGACCAGGCTTGCACCAACTGTAAGTCACGACTAGATGGCACGACTCTGGTTCCCCATTACGGCGCTGAGTATGAACGAAGGTTAACTGGTCTTCTTCTTGTCGGACGTTGGGATACCTGTCTTGTAGCGTTCAAGGAAGACATTGCTGTAGCGGAAATGCCAACGATCAGAGAAGTTGAGCAAAAACTTCAAGCTCCTGTACCGACAATTACAATATGAATTTTTTTTCGTTTCTGTTAGGTATTCGGGAGTCAGCAACCCACCTTGATTCCAGGTATAATACCCTGTTTCTTGAGCGCCGTTCACAACAAATCGTGTTCCATCGTCACATTTCTGATAGAACGTCTCGTGGAACATGATTACACCCGAGATGTGCTTGCTCATATCGGGACTTGCAGTGAATAAAAGCTGAATGAACAGTTATCAATCAATTATTGATTAGCTAGTACAGTATCGATGCTTACCTGCCTGTACTTTCGACGCTGTTCTTCAGTGTTTTCCGTGCCAATGCCTTTCATTTTCTTTTCCATACTACCAGTGGATTCATCAGCAGCTGAAGGGGGTGCAATAAGTAATTACCCGTGATAGGACCGAGTCCGTGCTAAATGGGGGAGGGGGGATGAACACGCCACGTCATGTCTGCTCATCTGCCTCTCACCGAGATTGAGTGAGTGAGTTTGTATGCCACATGCTTGTTCCCAATCGACTTCCTACACTAAACATGCCTGGAACTAGTTTCAGAACAGTTTTCCGTGCTGTCTTGGTGAAAGAGCGCAGACGCGCAGACATGACGTAGCATAGCCGCGGTAGTGCACACCTCCCATCCAAATCTCCTGTATTTGTCACGTAAGATCTAGACGAATAAATCTCACCGAGAATTCCCTTGCCGGGAGCCACAATAGCGTTTGCGATGCTGCGTAGTTCATCCTCTTGTTCTTTGGTGAGGTACTGCGAGTAGGAAGCCATCCTTAATCAGGTGTTAGTAAAAAATGATTTTCTTGGGAATCGTTCTTCGATATCCGTGGTTATCACGCACGTTCAAAATTGATAAAAACCCTAACAGCTGACAGGGATATCACGTTACTACGGGAGTTGTGAACATGAGAGTAACCACGTAGAGTGCACGTGATTCAGAGAACCTTGGATAAGGGCCACGAAGAGGTTGTAATGAAGAGCTAGGGTCAATTCAAAAGTCTTAAGTGTGCACGACAGTAATTTTAAACTCGCTTTCTTCCACTTATTATGACAAATTATACCCTGGAACTTTCCACCGGAACACTGAACTAAGCACAAAAGCCTTAACCCCAAGCGGGATCCGAACCCGCACCTCACGCTACACGGCGATTACGCTGTCCGTTGCGCCACCAACGCTACTCTAACCTTCGTAACAAAACAAGTTCTATCACTCGCCCTTTGAGGACCAGTCTATGTGGACTTTTTACTGACCTTCTTCTGGGATTTCCTTGGGATGGATTTTCGTTGAATTCAGTGTCAGTATGTTTGCCACTATGTTCGAAAAGAAAACATCGCGCCCAGGACAAGAGTGCCGGGACCGCTGGACCACAAGCAACCTAATTTGAGCACCAGACGCTTTCGGATGTGATTTCTGTTTTCAGAAGGGAAAACTATTCGATGAAAAGTCTTGGCCAAATCTAATCCCACGAAGGATTTTTCGATCGGATAAGGCAGGATGGTGATCCTCCCATTGTCACTAACAACTATTTCAAAGTGTTCTTTTTGGAACCCGAGAAAGGATTAAACTTGAGTGACCTAAACTTTGGATTTAGGCTGAGCTTGGCGCGCCTAGAGCTTTCTATCGCTCTGTGGTTCAGTCTCAAGTAATTTACACAGATTTATATCCCTGAGAAATGACTGAGCCTGTCACGCTAAATTTATCGAGGCTCGCAGCCGAAGTTCTATCGCAAAGAAACCACTCATGGGTAAGGTAAAGTACCTATCCAGTTACGTCATCGAAAAGTTTCCAAAAGATCGTGAAATAGGATCATGGATGGCTGAAATGGGAAGCTGGACAAGGCACTGTTACCACGCGGTCCGGAGTATATAGATTGGATAGATCGCCCAGAGCTACCAAGCCGTTTAATGCTTGCTCCCGAGTCAACTGACCGCGGTACCGAATTCGCATGACAGGATGGGTAGCAGAACTCGTCTGATCGCAATGAAGACTGGAGCTCCGCATAGGATGAGGGCTAGTCCACTCGCACGCGGCATTTCACACATTCGAACCAGGGCACGACCTGGCATTGGGAGAATTTTCGTCAAGTGCAAACTCATCTACAGCCGACCGATCATTGATATTGCCCAACTATCTTGAACTTGCCTGAGGTGTGGTGGGGGGGGGGTGTAGCCCCCTCCCGATCACTGGAACATAGACACCTGCCTACGCACTATGCAGAATGAGTAGTTTTGTGCTCCAGAACCGAAAGGTATACAGCGGGGTAGAAAAGAAAATAATCCAGTCAAAAGGATTTTTCTTGGTCAAATATGATCCCTGTCCCCCTTTAGCCACCAAAGGAGACCCCTTTGGGTATCTCTTATGTACGACGTACCCCTATTAGAGTGCAATTCCCATTTCAAATGAAAGCAGAGATGCATAGTGCGTCGCAAGAGTGCTGGAATATAGCGCTAAGCATCTCGTCCACCTCTATCGAGATAATGACTTTTTTTTTTAATCGGTATCCAAGGAACGTTGAAATAAAGACTCTCGCGTCTGCCTCGAAAATTTGAGGGCGCGCCACCATGCCCATGATTTCGAAACGATGACGCAATAGCTAATACGCTTCCCTCGGTCGGATTTTTTCGGATGAGGTAAAGCGGTAGAGAAGAGAGGCAAGAGCATAGCAGTCAAGGGGTTCAGTTAACGAGGGGAAAATCGAAAGGGACTTCAGATGTGAAAGCAAGCACTTCGGCTTTATGAGGCAAAACAGGGACACAAGAAGAGAAAATGCAGGCGAAAGCTTATTGGTTAGCTCTCGGCTTTATTATAAGAGGTTTCTCGCCTTCGAAACTGGCGATTTTTGAGAATCCTATACAAGGCACGATCGGATTGGTGGGCGGTACCACATGATTCCTCTGCAAAACTTGTACAGGCCGTCTTGTCAGACCTGTAAAGTCCTGTACTAAAGTGGGTCGTTTAGTGGCTTCACAAGTGTTCACAAGTCTCATCAAGTTGAGAACTGTTAGTGAACATGAACTGTTAGTGAAAGAACTAGAGGAAGTGCATGTCCCTCCCCTAAGTAGAATCGCGTCAAGTCGTAATTTCAGAGTATCTCCTCACTCAGCAGCAAATCACTAAAGTTTAGCCGTAGTTTAGCTAGGAAGTTTGACGTCCTCGGCGAAGTTGATGGAGGACTCTGCGGAAGAATTAGGCTTGGCTTGGGAGGGGCATTGTGCACTTCCCATCGTGTATTCATTGCTTTACAAAAGTCGACAGGTATTATCTATACAAACTTTGATGTATTACTTCATGGCTCCACAAGAATTCACAGTTCTCTACTTGATGGCTCGACACGACAATAGGAAACAGCGAAAGTGCACAATGCCCACTTCTAGCCGTATTGCTCCCTCTGGGCTACTCTCGCTCGCAACAGAGACGACTGGAGACCTTGTGAGCCGCTGCTCTAGAAATGCGATGTTCGATGGAGCACGACAAGTGATACAGGCGATAATACAGTCTTGCTCGCAGCGGATGATGGGGCGTGTCAGCAGGGCTGCGTTTGGCACGCCGCCAGCCCGTTCTCCACCAGCTGCTGAAGAGCTTGAGCGGCAACAAGTGGTGTAAAACGGCTGGTATGAACGATATGATACGGTCTTGTCGCTTGTCGAAAGGAAAACAAGAAAAAAAATGGTTAGTGCCGCGCCAAACGCTGCCGCGCTGACCCCCCCCCCCCCTCCAACCCGCTAAGACGAGACTATAGACGATTGACAAAAAGGGCTGATAGCCCAGAAATTGATTCAGAAACTAGAAGTACGAGATGATCCGGCGAGTAGCGCTCAGGTTCCAGTCAGAAGCAGCACTTCCTATGGACTGAGAGGCGGAGTCGATCGAGACTCGCTCGGGCCCTTGCCGCAGCCGGGTCGATTGACGCCGTCGGACAAAATGTGGAGCTGTCTTCGTTTCTCTCGAACACATGTGAAGCTGAAACTCTGACTGTTGTCAACGAACTCGAGCTCACACTCTCTGCTTTGGCAACAAGTGCAGTTCGAGTTTGTGTACACTGTTCAAACAACTGTCACTGGATTACTCGTCGTTGTGAGGCTAACGTAAGCGTTCCGAGGGCCAAGAGCGTTTCGAAAGCCAAGGGTTTCTCTTAAGCATCAATCACATTGAAACGGAAGGATTCTTGGTGAGAAACATTTCCGCTCTGTCGCAGTCGCAAAGCCACAGCGCTTTTCCGGGACTTCTTCATCCTTCCTCGCCTGAAAATCGATACGCTGAAATGGCGCTTGTTTTGTCTAGCAGCCGATGGAAAAAGCGCATACAATCCGAGGATATCGTGGACTTTCGCAATGGCAGTATCCGGGAGAGGATAGCGGGCAGGGCCTTGTTTAGCCGAAGCTAGCCGGGCAGGGCTGTGTTAAACCGAAGCTGGCTGGAATCGAAAGTTTCCCAGAAAAAGTTTTAACTGACCGCCTACCTGGGAGGCTTTTGTCCTGGTCCATGTCCCGGTTCGGGACCCTGGCGTTCTTCGATGATACCGAGTAGTTCGAGAAACTGTTCAACGAGGAACATAGCGAGTGAATGAACCGACCGATCCCTACTAAAAGGATTGGATAACCAAATATCGAAATCAGTCCTTATGTAAACAAGTACTCATTAGTTTTCCTCACTGCTTCATTCTCTCATTCGCACTTTGAGAATTTGTGTTGCCCTTGGTTACAGGGATTCGAAGGCCTAGCGTAAATCCCCCTCCCCATTCGGGATGCGCCATTCAAGTGGCTTCCATCCAGAATCTTAGGGACATTCGGGTGTGCAGTCTTGTTCGCTGCGAATGCTAGGGCGTATCAGGGAGCTATTGACTGTTGTCGCTTACCCACATCAACAATTGGTGGAAAACTGGCTGGTGCTGCGGTAAACCCAGCCTCCCTGACACATCTCACCGCCGACAGGGAACAAGTGCGTACCCTTACCTCTACAATGGCATTGGTAATCAATCTACTCTCATTTTCGTTTTTTATGAATTACCCTAGTACCACTCATCGGACGAAGCGTGAGGGTCATGCATACTTTTCCGAGGGTTATCATTGGGTGTGGCAGAGTCCACCTAAGTGTGAGCTGTAAGATTACTCCCCGTTTTCACTTTCATGCTATGATAGCCATATTGGCTGAGGTGGGAGATTTACATTGTGGTGATGCGCGAAACTAGCAGAGTAATTAATGGCTAGATGACTCGACGAACTGCGAACTTCCACGTAAATCAATTAGGTCCCGATGCCAATACTGCGCACGTGACGCCTCCTGCATCGCAGCTTGGCGACGCCGATATTCCACGCTATAACCCGCTTCAAAGTCATTTCAAATTCTCAAGAAAAAATCCCTTACCTCAACCTCATCTCTCGACCACAAGAATCTCACAGGAAACCATGAGCCAACTAATTTCATTAAGACGCAAAACCATTCACGGAAAAGCGTGTAATTATCAGCATGTGTCTCATTTTGTTAAGAAAAAGACCTAATAGAACGACCAGGAATGGAAACAATGGGACAAATTTCAGAGGGAAACCTAATAGAAATGAAAGCGGGCTAAAAGATGCAGAAAACGTGTTGGCCAAGCTACATCTGTGAATTGCCTATGACTGATTGAGGAAGCGCTTTGTTCAAGAGTGATGCCAACAATAAGGTGTGCCAGACCTCGAAC